GAGTACTCATACTGGTAAGAAGCCACCTGTGTGTAGAAAATGTGGAAAAGCTTTGTAGTAGCTCATACTTTGTTCAACACCAAAGGATCCATATTGGTGAGAAACCCTATGAATGTGAGGAATGTGGGAAAGCTCTTATAGCCTATGGGAGACTTATTCAGCATCAGAATACTCACACTAGTGAAAACAGTTTGGGTGTAAGGAATGCTCAAAGGCCTTTAGTACCTTTTCATATGGTGTTCAACATGAGAGAATTCACTCTGGTGAGAAGCCCTGTGAGTGTGAGGGATGTGGAAAGGCCTTTTCTGTGTCTGGACAACTTACTTACCGAAGTATCCATACTGGTGAGAAGCCATGTGAAGAGAATGTGGAAAAGCTTTTTGTGGTAGCTCATACCCTGTTCAACACCAAAGGATCCGTAATGGTGAGAAACCCTATGAATGTGAGGAATGTGGGAAAGCCATTAGCTGTTCTCCATACCTTGTTCAACACAAAAGACTTCGTACTGGTGAGAAACCCTATGAGGGTAAGGAATGTGGCAAGGCCTTCAGCACTGGTGCATAGCTTGTGCAGCATCTGAGAATTCACACTAGAGAGAAACTATATGCAGGAGAGGAATGTGGAAAGACTTTCAGTCGTGGGAATGTGGAGTCTTTCATGTGCGGCTCATTGTTCAGCATCTGAGAACTCATGCTGGTAAGAAAAACTCAAAATGCAAAAATTGTTGGTAGATTTCCAGAGATATTTTCATTTTTCTGATACAGATGCCCCTTGACTTGCAGTGGGATTCTATCAGTATAAAGCCATCATGTGTTGAAAATGTCAGACATTGAAAATGCACTTAATACAACACACATAACCTGCTGAATATCATAACTTAGCCTAGTCTGTCTGAAGCATATTCAGAACATTTATAGTAGGCTACACCTGGGAAAAGTTATCTAACACAAAGTCCATTTTATAATAAAATATTGAATATCTCATGTAATTTACCAAAAAGAGTAAAGTTTACAGTGCGGTTTCTACTGAATACATTATCAGTTCACATAATCATAAAGCCAAAGAATCAAAACTTAAACCATTGTAAGTTAGGGCCTGTCTGAATTAGAGAATTTATAATGTAATTCAGAAAATAAGGCTTCATTTGTCATTCTTGTGTTTAAAGTATTAGAATAATCATACCAGTGAACTTTTTGGGAAAGATAATAAACATTATTTAATGTTCACAATGTTGAAAGCATGAAGTTTTATACTTAGATATCAACAGGGGACCAGCATAGTTAACAAACAGGAGAGCCAGTGTGCTTACCACTATGGGGTATTGTTTTCAAAATGATGATTAATAGAACGTGCATTCTTTGCTCAGTAATCTTAGTTTCATTATTTTTTCTACCTGTTAGCGAAACTTTGATCGTAAAACCCTACAGATGTAGTTAGTCTAGCAATGCCTCCCTTTGTCCAGTTTAGAACTGTAGGTGAATCTTTCTGATAAAATTTTGTAGAAGGAAAGGAACAGGAGAGGATATTCATGTGGAAATTACCTCTTACACTGAATCAAGTTTTTGAAAGATACTCACTTTTAATGTGTGTGAAAATGTCAACAGCCTGTGATCTACACTGTCCGAAGTTAAATAGAAATTGGAAGTCAGTAATACAGTAGCAAAGCCAACTATTCCTTTAAACATTCCTTTCTTGACTTTTTTCCTATGAACATTTCAACATAGAGGAAAGTGGAAAGGAGAGCAAAATTGCCACCATCTTTGATAACATTTTACCTGATTCATTTTTATCTCTGTTGCTTTATGAAGAGAGATGTCGCCCTCTGCTCTTGAAAGCACAGCAGTCTCCTTGTGGGGATTCTACCCTCACGACTTCATCTAAACCTAATCATCCCCCAAGTGTCTCACCTTCAAATGGCATCACGTTGAGGATTGGGGCTTCAGCGTATGCATCTGGAGGAGACATACTCAGTCTGTAACATTCTTCCTTCAATAGCATTCTTCCCAAAATTAGCCAAGACTTTCTGGAGAAATGACTACTTCCAGGAATGGACAGAGGTGATTACAGGTGATTGTGGAACAGCTTGGGACAGAGAGCAATGATTCTTTAAAAAAATTAGGATCTTTTCAAAGACACAAAATAGCTAGAGATTCCCATGGGCATGGGTTGTGATGGTCTGAGTATGAAATGCAGGGTCTTAGTCCACCCGTACAGGATGGACTGGGTCCGAGGAAATGTAAGTGAGCCACTCACCTGTTCCCCAGCCTCCTGATCCTGGAGACAATCAGACGCAGCTGGGAGCCAAGTCTAGCAAGAACTCGTTTATTTCACACGTAACAGAGCCTTTTATAGCACAAAACTGCAGAGTCACTGGGGCAGGGCTAAGGACCAACCAATCACTTAAACGGTCATTTTACGGGGCGATTTCTATAGGACTAGCCATATGTCTATACACTTGTTACTGGTTTTGTTACCTCCCCTGATGTTGCATGGCCAATTAGCTTTGGTGGTAAACATGGATTTCACCCACCTTGCTTCCTCTGGGCACCATCTTTGAATTGCTTCGTGTAACTAATTTCCCCACATGAAAATTGTGATTTTTTAGTACAGGGCTCAGAAAACTAAAATATAGATTAAAAAAAAAAAGACAAAAGCAGACCAGTCAAGAGAAAATCATAGCAATAGTTTGTTTGGGATATTCAAGGAATTTTACTTGTTGTCTTTCCAAAGGACCAAAGATAACATGTGCTTGCAAGAGTGATGAGAAAGCCCAAACTTTAGCAAAAAAAAAAAAAAAAAAAAAAAAAGGCGAATAGCTAAAACAACACCTGAACACCTGGTGAAGTCTTACCTTCACCACAACCGTGCTTCTGCTCATCCCAAGAATGAATAGACATTAAAAATCAGTTTAATACACAGTCTCTTCGCTGACCTCAACAGGATAAAGCTAGAAAAAAAAAAGAGCAGGCTGGCGCTGCGGCTCACTAGGCTAATCCTCTGCCTGCAGTGCCAGCACCCTAGGCTCTAGTCCTGGTTGAGGTGCTGGGTTCTAGTCCCGGTTGCTCTTCCAATCCAGCTCTCTGCTGTGGCCCAGGAGTGCAGTGGAGGGTGGCCCAGGTCCTTGGGCCCTGCACCTGCATGGAAGACCAGGAGGAAGCACCCGGCTCCTGGCTTTGGATCGGCACAGCACTGGCCGTAGCGGCCATTTGGTGAGTGAAGCAACAGAAGGAAGACCTTTCTCTCTGTCTCTCTGTAACTCTGCCTGTCAGAAAGAAAGAAAGAAAGAAAGAGAGAAAGAGAGAGAGAAAGAAAGAGAGAAAGAGAAAGAGAGAAAGAAAGAAAAAAGAAAAGGAAAAGAAAGAAAGAAAAAGAAAAAAAGAGCAAAGGGAAAACTGGAAAACTCATAACTTTGTAAAAATTAAATAACATAATCAGTATATCAAAGAAAAACATCACAAAAGAAGCCATAAAATAGAGGTAAAATGAAAATACAACCTACCAAAATGTACGGGATGTGGTCAAAGCAGTCCTAAAAGGCAATTTTACAGATATCAAGCTTGTATTAAGCAAGAAGAAAGACCTCAGATCAGAAATCTCACTCTGGGGCTGTTTGACATGGTAGTTAGGATAATACTTGGGGCACCCACATCCCGTTTTTGTGCACCTGGGTCGGGTTCCAGCCCCTCTCCTGATTCAACAGTCTGCTAATGCATAGCCCAGGAGGCAGCTGGTGATGGCTCACGTACTTGGGGACCTGCCCTCCACGTGGGAGGCCTGGAAGGAACTCCCAGCTCCCAGCTCTGACCTGACTCAGCTCTGCTTGTTGCGGGTATTTGGGGAATAAATCAGCAGACGGGCACTCTTGCTCTCTTTCTCTATTTTTCAAATAATTTTTTAAAAAGTTGTATCTAACTTTACAACTTAAAGAACTAGTAAAAGAAAAACAAACTGAAACCCAAAACTAGGGCAGGCATTTAGCTTGGCAGCTGAGATACCATTTGGGCTGCCTGCATCCCATACTGGAGTACCTGATCTGCGTCTCAGTTCCACTTCTGATCCGGCTTCCTGCTAATGCACACCCTGGGAGGCAGCCAGGGATGGTTCAACTAGTTGAGTCCCTGATATTCACGAGAGAGACATGGATTGAGCTCCCAAATGCTGGTGTTAGCCTGCCCCAGGCCTGGCTGTTGCAGTCATTTGGGGAGTGAACAAGTAGATTGAAGATCTCTATCTCTTTTTCAAATAAAATTAAAAAAAAAAAAAACCAAGCCAAAGCTAGTAGGAGGAAGGGAGGAATAAAGACATTAGAGATACCTAGAGAACAGAAAAACAACATAGAGTCAGCAAAACCAAAGTCAGTGGTTCAAAAAGATGAACAATTATAACCAAACTTTAGCTATTTTTACCAAAGAGAGAAAACCAAATTACTGAAACAATTAGAAACAAGAGCAGGGACTATTACTGATTTTACAGAAATAAAAACCATTAAAGAGGGGCCAGCATTGTGTTGTAGCAGGGAAAGTCACTGCACCTGGGAAAAGCAGCAGAAGTCGGAGCAACGGCTGAAGGCCTTCCCACATTCACTGCCCCCCAAAGGGCTGTTCGGGGAGAGTTTCCCACAATCATTGCCCTGGGAAGGCCCTTCTCCAGCGTGAACTCTCCGGTGTTTAATCAAGCTGGGGTTGCCGGCAAAAGGTTTCCCAGGAGACTCACACTCACAGCATCCGTCGGGTTTTACTCTGTTATGAACACTCTGGTGTTGAATGAGATGAGTGGCATGGCTAAAACTCTCTGCACATGTAAGATCTTTCGTCTGATTCTCTGATGCCCAGCAGGTGTGAATCTGCGCCCAGAATCACGGCGCTCGTTATGCCCTGTGCAGTGTGCAAATCTCCCCCGGCTTCAATGCTCTTGTCCACACCAGGCGTGAAAGTCTCCCGTGGCCCCCAAGGCCTTCCCACCCTCCCCACCCTCCCTACGCGTGCAAAGCTTCTCTGATGTGTTCCCTCTGTAGGTTCCCACCGGCCAGGCCTCGTCTCCTCCCTTCCAAGGGCTTGCTCACCTGCTGCTGCACCTGCTGCTGTGGCAGTTTTACACTGAACTCAGATCCGCTCCCAGATGCTTCAACACACACACGGTTTGTGCCCGGGATATGAGGCCTGATGTGCAGCCAAGTGTGAAATGTCTTTCACACACACGTCACAGGGGTAGGTTTCCTGGGTGGACACAGCTGCCTTGGGATTCCTGTCCTGTGACACTCCTTCTACAGAGACACTTGGCTGAGAAGGTAACTCCTCACCCTCTGATCCACAGTGACGACCTGAAAGCAGAGAAATGCCGGCCAAGTTCACGTAAACTCTGATAACAGCAAACGGCCCCATCGCATGTGCCCACCTGACCCAGGGATGAGTTCACGGGATTGTTGGAAACATACGAAACCTTGGGTAATGGTAAGGAGTGGTCCACACGGCAGTGCTGGCCTGGTCGGATCACAAACTGGGAAAGCCCAAGAACACAAGGATGGGGTTCAGTGCTGGGTGGTGAGACAGGATCTCCAGCTCATGTCCCTACCGAGACCTTTAAGCGGGGCCTTTGCCTACAGCAGGAGTGTCCAGACCCATGAAAATCTTGTTGTAGCCGAGCTCTATACCAGAACTTCTAGGCAACGTGTGCGTCTGATGACACCTGCAGCGTAGGCCGCCGTGGGCAAGTGCCACAGCAGAAGCTGTGGAGTCGGCCTGAGGCCACGAGGGTGGAGCACGGGCAGAGATGACCATGGGCAAGGCGTCACGGTGAGAGGGGCACACTTGGCGTTCTCTGGGTGGTCCTGAGCCGGAAGCTGGCCATTATGAATCACAAGACTCCCACCTTTGTCGAGACAGAAAATGCAGTGACTGTCTCAGGTGACGATCACGACTTTCACAGGGACGCGCACCCTTGCACCATTGGGCTCTTTTGTTTTATTTTATTTCATCTTCTTCAAAAATCAATGCAATTTATTTTTAATTTCTAATTGACAACATCACGTGAAGGGATCATGTACAACATGGTTTTGCAATACGTGCGGGTTGTGGAATGGCTAAAGCGATCTAGTTCATATACGTCTTATCTCACATAGTTACGGTCTTTGTGGTCAGAACACCTACAATCTACTTTCTTGACATGCTCCAAGAACACAGTGTGCTGTTGTTATCTATGGAAAACAGAGTTCTTCAAGTCCTTCACCTGCCTAACTGAAATTCTGGAGCCTTTGATCAGTACTTCCTCTCTCCGCCCGCTTCCCACCGCGGCCCCTGCACCTGCCCGGCCACCGTTCTGCACCCTGCCCCTGCCCGGCCAGCGTTTGCAGATTCTACCTGTTGTGGATGACAGCCCTTTATCAAATGTCTTTTGCAAATATTTCTTTATGCTCTGAGGCTTGACTTCTTATCCTGTTGACGGTGTCTTTGGCAAAGTGGAAGTTTTTCATTTTAATGGAGTCCAATTTAGTAATTGTTTCTTTCTTGGATCATGCCTTTGTGTTACTGGTAAAAAGTCCTAACCAAACCCAAGGCCATCTAGATTTTTTCCTGTGCTATCTTCTGAGAGTTCTATAGATTTGCATTTTACATTTAGGTTTATAATGCACTGAGATAGTATTTTTTAAAAGATTTACTTATTTATTTGAGAGGCAGAGTTACAGACAGAGAGAGGGAGAAAGAGAGAGAGCGCGCACGAAGCGATCTTCATCCACTGGTTCACTCCCCAAATGGCTGAAACAGCTGAAGCTGGGCCGACCTGAAGCCAGGAGCCAGGCACTTCTTCTAGCTCTCCCACGTGGGTGCAGGGGCCCAAGCACTCGGGCCACCCTGTGCTGCTTTCCCAGGCCATTAGCAGGGAGCTGGATGGGAAGAGGAGCAGCCAGGACACAAACCCGTGCCTATACGGTATGCTGGTGCTGCAGGCGGGTGGAGGCTTAACCTACTAAGCCACAGTGCCAGGCCCTCAGCTAATTTTTGTGAAGAGTGTAAGGTCTGTGTCCAGAGTATTTTGGTATTTTTTGTCCTGTGGCTGTCCAGTAACTCCATCATTTCTTGAAAAGATGCTGCTTTCTCCATCAGCCTGCCTTTGCTCATTTGTCAAAAATTAGTTGACTGCGGACAGCATCCATGAAGGATCAGAGTGTTCTTGTCACTGGGTACAGGGCCGTCTAAGGATGGCAGATTCTCACCATGCACAGTTTCACTCTCCCTGATTCTAGCCACTCTTAGAAAACACTCTGCTATGTTCTGTTTCAAGGCTAAGTCCTTGGCTTCCCCTCTCCCCCATGCAAGCAGCCGGGGCCGAGCAAGCCAGTCAGAGAGAGGCTCATCTCTGCACCTGCAGCCTCTCCCGAGGGCCCAGCTGCAACGCCGTGGCAAGCTCGGCGCCTGGCTGAGCAGTCTGGGACTGTATCAGAGCCACCCGCAGATGCGCTGTCCTGCCGCATCTTCCTGGAAATCAGCCCCCTTCTCTGCACCGCTAACCCAGACGTCCTCAGCAAGCAGGCGGTCGGTCCTGCTTCAGGCTGCTGATCTGCTGTGGTCCTCGTCTATTAACAGATTAAACTGCCTCGCTCCTTCACCCCCAGACCTTGCCCTCGTTATATTTTTTTAAGATTTATTTATTTTTATTTGAAAATCAGTTAGAGAGAGGCAGAGGGGGAGGGGTGATATTCCATTCACTGGTTCACTCCCCAAATGGCCAGGTCACCACCATGCGCTCTTGAGTTTGTCCTTGAGTTAGGGGAGGAAGAGAAGTGGCAGAGTTAAGGTTTTGAACCACAGTGGAAAATAATGTGAGGACGAGGAAGCAGAGGACTCCCAGGAGAGGCAAGGTGAGAGGACGAGAAGTAGCGTTTCTCGTAGGAGAGGGGTTTAGACAGCACGGGGGACGACCTTGAACCCAGCCTGCCGCTGCCTCCACAGCTCTCCAGCAAGGAACTTCAGGGTCAGCCCCTGGAGTGGGACTGGGACGGCCGCGGGCACTCTGGCTCCACTGTGTTTCTGAGACCGGAAGTCTGAAGGTGTCTCCGCTCGTGAAGGGATGGGGCAGGAAAAGGAAGAGTTTGCGAGCCCCAGGATAAGGGTGGAGCCAAAGGCATCCCGGAAATGAATTCCACCGCAGGGGAAGTGAAGGAGTAACCTCTGCTGAGTCAGCCCGTCCGGTGCTTCCTGCTGCAGTTGAGAAACGACCCACCATCCTGCCTGTAGTGAGCCGCTCCGACGCCTTTGAGAAAGATGGGAAAATACTCCTCATCTCCAGGGACTGGGGATTGATGCAGCAATGGATCGGTACAAATAAAACTACTAAAGCAATGTGTGTGTGTCAGGGGACAGGAGGCAGAATGCTGGCCAAGATGCCTGGAGCCCTTGGTGGAGTGCCTGGGCGCCACGCCCTCCTCTGACTCCTGTGGCTCCAGCTTCCCATCAACGCAGAACTGGAAGGCAGCAGAGAAGGCTCAAGTGGCGGTGTTCCTGCCACCCGTGTGAGAGGCCTGAATTGAATTCCTGGCTCCCAGCTTCAGCCCCAGACTAGCCGCAGCCATTGTCGGCATCTGAGAAGTGAATCAGCAGATGGGTGGTATCTGTCCATCTATCCATCATCTACCAATCTATCCATCTATCTACCTATCTATCCATCTACCTATCTATCCATCTATCTACCTATCATCTATCCAAGGCCCCTTTTGTCGGAGACCACACATTGCCTCCAGTTTTGAAGAGCGTTGTGCCGGTTGAGGGAGAAGCATCTTCGAAATCACTGCTTCCCAAATGCGTCCCGTGCCCATCTCCCTTGACCCCAAAGTGTGTCAGGAATGGGAACAAATCTGTCCCAAGCATGAGGACTATCAGTGACCTGGGGGGCCGTGAGAGGCCAGGGAAGCTTGGGTGACTTCCCAGAGCCGTCAGAGAGAGCACGGATGGGTGGGTGAGGGAAGCGGCTGGGGCTTCACAGGTTAGTCCTTTGCCCGAGTGTTAATACCTAAACTGGAAATGAAATCCCCGCCCTGTAGACTGAAAGACAGGGAAGCATAACCAAGAAAAGCTATGTTGGGTATTGCGGGGTTTGAGACGCATGAAAAGGGTTTTGAAAGGATGAATTGTATGGTGAATTATCTAACCCCCCATGGTGATCGTTTGTGTACCCCGTAGAATATAGTGGGTAGCAGGAGGTGAATCCCGGAGTTGGGAAAGCAGGCACAGGAAGTCATTGGTGCTCCTGTAGTTATTGTTTTTAATTCCTTCCAAGCCAGACACATGAGACCAGACCTCATCCCACTCCCTGGGATGCCCACATGCCGTGTCATAATGCCTGGTTCAAGTGCTGGCTACTCCACTTCTGATTTAGCTCCCTACTGATGCACCTGGATGCAGCAGATCATGTGGGAGACCTGGCTGGAGTCCCAAGACCCTAGCTTCAGACTGGCCCAGACCCAGCTGTTGTGGGCCTTTAGGGAGGGAACCAGTGGATAGAAGATCTCTCTCTCCCTTTCAAATAAAATAAATCATTTTTTTTAAAGTGGACATTCTTTGGGGATGATGCTGTGGAAGATGGCTCAAGTCCTTGGGCCCCTGCACCCAGGTGGGAGACCAGGAAGAAGCTCCTGGCTCCTGGCTTTGGACTGGCCCAGCCCCAGCCTTCACGGCCATTTGAGGATTGAACCAGTAGATGAAGACCTCTCTCTCTCTGTTTCTCTGTCTCTCTCTCTCTCCCTATTTCTGTAACTCTGCCTTTCAAATAATTACGTAAATCTTAAACTAACTAAACAGATGTTGTCACCTTCAGAGCCGTCACTGTTAAAGCTGTCTGTTCCATTCTGGCTCATGCCTCAATTTTTGGTTTCAAGGTGAGGGGACACAGCTCAGTCCCAGTTGCCATCCATAGATCGGATTATTTTTGCACATCCATGGCACAGCTGGTCAGTCACTATCTAGCCGAAACCAGCTCAGGCCAGCTTGGTGGTGAAACCTCTGAAAACAACTTAAACAGTGGTTTACAGGTGGGCATTTTGCATAGCAATCAAGACACCCAGCTCCACTTCTGATTCCAGCCAATTCCAACTTCCCGCTAATGAACTCTGTGAGACAGCAGGGCCTGGTGAGCAGCTGGGTCTGTTCCACCCCCTTGAATGACCCAGGTCAGTTTCAGGCTCCTGGCTTGGCCCAGCCCTTGCATCTGGGGGGTAAGCCAGCCAACACATGGAAGATTTCGCTTTCTGTCTATCCCGGTCTCTCTGTCTTTCAAAATAAAATGAAAATAAATTAAAAAAATTAATGTGAGATTTTATTTAAAAAGACAATTGCAGGGGCTGGCGCTGTGGCATAGCAGGTAAAGCCGCTGCCTGCAGTGCTGGCATCCCATACGGGTGCCAGTTCAAGTCCTGGCTGCTCCTCTTTCGATCTAGCTCTCTGCTGTGGCCTGAGAAAACGGTAGAAAATGACCCAAGTCCTTGGGCCCCTGCACCCACGTGGAGACCTGGAAGGAGCTCCTGGATCCTGGCTTTCAACCAGCCCAGCTCTGGCCGTTGTGGCTAGTTAGGGAGTGAACCAGTGGATGGAAGACTTCTCTCTTTCTGCCTCTGCCTCTCTGTAACTCTGCCTTTCAAATAAATAAATAAATAATTTTTAAAAGATTTTATTTATTTATTTGAGAGGTAGAGTTACAGACAGTGAGAGGGAGAGACAGAGAGAAAGGTCTTCCTTCTGTTGGTTCACTCCCCAAATGGCTGTTATGGCCAGCACTGGGCTGGTTGAAAGCCAGGAGCCAGGAGCTTCTTCCAGGTCTCCACGTGGGTGCAGGGGCCCAAGCACTTGGGCCATCTTCTACTGCTTTCCCAGGCCACAGCAGAGAGCTGGATTGGAAGAGGAGCGGCCGAGACTAGAACTGGTGCCCATATGGGATGCCGGTGCCATAGGCAGAGGATTAACCCACTGTGCCACGGTGCCGGCCCCTAAATAAATCTTAAAAAAAAAAAAGGCAATTTCAGTAGACAGGACATTCAAGTCATAAGATCTAGAAGCATCTGAAAAGGCTGGGGGTGGGGTGGAAGGCATTTCTCTTCCCGAGAGGAATAAATAAGGCCAGAAAGAACTGCTTTCGGGGTGGGGTGAGCAGGTGCGATCATCTGCACAGGAAGTGTTTTTCTTTGCAGTCCACTGCTCCTCAGAAGGGGACGTTGCCAAGGCTGTTCTGCATTCTGTATTGCTGAAGCTCAAGGATGCATTCAAGTTCAAGGGCCTGGAGGGAGGACAGAAGCCTGAATAAACTTTGGTCAAATCATGTTAGCTCATTTTTTGGGGTTATATTCTTTTCTGTTAATTTGTAGATTCATATCATTATTTGAATTTCATTTATGGGTGGTTTATTTTGTGAGACCTTTGATATACGGGGAAAATATTCATAATACTACTAAGCATTAATTTCTTAATTAATTGTAATTTCCCACCAAATGTTGAAACTGTTGATTGTTTTCCCCTCATTGTTGGGGATGAAAGGTTTGACTGTAGGACTCCAAAAGCGGTGTCCTCTTGTGACGACCCCAGAAACACAGACTCCAGACCAGACGATGCAATAGAACAGGAGGTAATTTTATTTCATTTGCGCAAATGGGCCCCCTACTGCTGCAAGCAGCAAGCAAGTGAGAGGAGCCCCGAGCAGCTATCTCACACAGCTTTTAAAGGGCAAAACCACAAAATTAACATATTATAGGCTGGCGTAAGTTCATTGGATAATTTTCAGTAGCGGGCCTTGCAGCTTTCTTTGTTAACCTTGAGCAAGCGTAGGGAAGGGGCTTATCTACAAGGCAGGTGTTCTGTGTATCTCTGGTTAGTAGCTGACTGCTTTCTCTGTGAACTGGTTTACTCCCCATTTCCCAAGGCCATCTCTGGAACAGTTTGTCTCAGGAGCCCCATTTTTTTATGGTGGCTCTTGGCTCCTTTCATTCCCCCATTTTCTCTTTGAACTAATTTTAATCCTAAAATTGTGTGCCGTTAATGAGGGGTTTTAATACGGTCACTGGTGGCCAGGGCTTGATACTGTTGTGTGAGGACTAATGCCAATGATCAGCAAGCCAGGCCTTAGCATGTGGGCCCATGGCCAGCCATGGGTCTCCACATTTTTTTCTTTTTTTTTATTAAATTGAGAATGGCCTCTGTCTTGGGTTGCCCTCAGTCATCTCTGTCCTTACCCGTCATCGGTAACTCTGGCAGCTTGGCCTAGAGCCCTGTCTTAGGTTGGTACAGGATGCTGAGCGTCTTACCCGTCTTTGAGTACCATTCCAGCCCAACATTAGGTGAGAGATGAAACATACAGCCAAATATTAATTATTTTGATTACAAAGGAGGCTTGGTACAAAGTTTTAAATGATGAATCTCAGTCCATTTATACTATAGGGAAGTCAGCATAAAATGCAGAACACACGGAAGACATCCCATACAAAGTGGGAAAAGCGGTAGCAGTCCAGCCAACATTAATAACCAATGAATTCATTGAAACCCTTCAAATGAATAGTGGGTTAGTAATAAACATATGTTGCATTTTACTCTTAAGTTTATCAATAACAGACTCTATATATGGCACATTGTTAGTAATGTTAAAGCAATATCCCCCAGGTACAGGTTTACAACTTATATGATTTTTTTAACAGCGAGTAATTGTTAGCTGCATGGCTTAAAAGCACTCCTGAGTGAACTTGATTTAATTCTTTGGCTATATTGGATAGCACAGTAGCAGTAAGATTGATTGCTTTGGTCACCAAACATGTAAGCCTTTATAGTCCACGATTATTTCCAAAAGCCAGTCCAGGAACACTTACTACTGATGCAGCCATGGCAAGGGCAGTGTCCTCTCCTATTAGGATGACGTTGTTATTGTAGTCTTTAAGTAAAGCACGCCACTGACGTGCTCTATCCGCTGCTGTAAATACAGATGTTAGCATCAGGGCCACACGGCCCAGGGAGCAATTGCAGAAAGGCATGTTGGTTACATGGAAAAACCCATCCCTTAGGAGCCCTTGTCCCATACCAGTACTGGATCAGGTCCATTCCATTGATTGGTGATAGGATCCCTTTATTTCACCACTGCTCTTTTTACAGCTGTTTTTAAGCAGTTAGAATTTAACAGAGACATCAAGAGAACATAATAGATTACTTTAACTCATTGCTTTAACAGAGGATCAGATTTTGATTTTATGTTAAAGAAAATAACCAAAGATTTTTTTTTATAACATTTTGTGACTTTTTCACACCTTCTGTAACTTGCTCAAACTTTTCTCTTCTCCCCCCCCCTTTTTTATTCCAGTATAAACCAGCCATTAAGATAAACAATTTTTATAAATTATATTTTTTTTATTTAAAAGTATTTTTTTTAACTTTTTTTATTAAGAACACGCTTTTATGTTTGTGACCTTTTACATCAAAATGATGGTATCTGGGACTGTAGCAGTCAATGGGAGAGTAATTTTGTTTAATTTCCTGTAATCCACAGTCATTTTTCAGGTTTCATCTGATTTTTTAACATGTCAAATTAGATAATTCCTTTTAGTGATTATGGGAATTATCACTCCAGCACTAAGATAATTTTTTTATTGTTTTAAATTTTTTTTTATGTCCACCTGGAATTTTGTATTGTTTACACTGAATAACCTTAGTTGGCCCTGGCAGCAGTACAGGAGCTTGATATAATTTTTTTACCACTACCTAGCAGTTTGACTCTAAAGGGCAGTATTTTTTTTTAATTTATATTTATTCTGTACTTATTTTTTTAATTGCTTACACATGTATCAGTATGCAGATAACAAAATCCATTTTCACCTCCCCAAAGCCTATAGTTCATCCCCCTTTTCCACCGGCACTGATAGCAAAACCTCAATAACTTGTGGAGGCTGTGCACTCCGTAACTTGCCATCCCAATTTTCACTCGATTCTGAGCAGAGAGCCCATTCCTTTACCAAAGAGGCGAACTGAAGGTCTTTTCAGCCAGGAACATCACAGGTTACGCATGCAACTTCAGTTTTTTTTTTAAAGAAAGGCATTGCTTTGCATACTTGCAGATCCTGCCAACTACGCCAATTTGTGACAGTAAATTACTTTTTAGCTGTCTGCTGTGCACAGACTTAGTTACTTTTAATCTGCAAGAAATACGCTGCAAGCCTTGTAGTGCACACTAAAATTATTTAGAGGAAAGATGGTAAAGGAGCATAGATTAACAGAATGTTGCAATAAACATGGCTCCATTGCTTTAATGGTACTATGGCAAGATGGTCCACTGATCCCTGTAGGGAGGGCCTGAGGCTGGCCCCGCTTCCAGTTTCCTGAACTCTGTTTTTTAATGAATTACCTTCTTTATCAGTTTTGGAGTGACATTTATTGGCCCAATGCCTTCCCCTTTAGCACTGGAAGCAAATCCCAGGAAGAGCCTTATTTTGATTTTTGACTTCTGGACAATTTTTGTACATGTCCCTGTTGCCCACATTTATAGCACCCTCATTTATCAGGCATAGCCCTCCTTGATGATTTTTGTAATGACATACCAAGCAGAGCGTCAGGTCCTGAATGTCCTGTTATTAATATATTTTGTTAATTTTTCATTAAAGGGACTGTCACAGAACACCTCAATCACAGTAGCCAATTGATCATGTAATCATTACGGGCACATTTAACATTCAGCTTGACTGCGTGTTCCCCCAGGATGAAACAGCAGCAACAGAGGCTTGCTCCGGCTCCCCCCTAAAGCCTCCAAGGACAAGGGTGGCTCATTGCCAAGATTTTAGGCAAGCAGTGCGTCCCATCTCGGGTCTTGGCCAGAGAGCCGAGACATGAAGCATGCCCACCTGTTTATCAGAAAACATTCCTTTATCCTCCTCCCCGGGAACTGGCCAGGCTCCCAAGGAGCAGGAGAAGGTCATTCGGCAGCAAAGTTTCTTGGTTACCAGAGCCAAATCTAGGTACAAGCCTCTCCATCCCAAAAATTTGTCCTTACATTTGGCCCTAGGGTTGCATTGAGAGGTAGACATAATTAACACATCATAAGAATACAATACACATTTTTTATACAAGTATACATCTATCAATCAAACACAACAATAAAAACAGATGGGGGAGACAGTAAGAGATAAAGGACAACAAAAACAGTGACACACAGAACACAAATCACAAGCCGCGCAGCAACAGACCGAGACAAAACCAAAACCAGAATTTCAGAAGGGAGCGGCCGTTTGGCCAGGCTCTCCCTTTGAAGAAGGGAAACGCTCTCTTTCCCTCCTTCCCAGACCACCACTGGAGCGTCCTCCAGGGTTGGACCAGGGGCCTCGCGACACGTCTGTCTCCCCTTTGGTCCAGTCAGCACTGAGCCTGTACAGGCACCCCAGGACGGATTCCACGTCGTCCTGGCAGACAAGGACAAACAGTACAAACCACAGTTACAATAATACACAAGTAAGCAAACTTACCTCCGTCTGGCCGATGGAGTGTGGGAGTCTGGGGTCCCCCAAATCCCGGACGAGCCCCCAACTGTAGGACCCCAAAAGCGGTGTCCTCTTGTGACGACCCCAGAAACACAGACTCCGGACCAGACGATGCAATAGAACAGGAGGTAATTTTATTTCATTTGTACAAATGGGCCCTCTACTGCTGCAAGCAGCAAGCAAGCGAGAGGAGCCCCGAGCAGCTATCTCACACAGCTTTTAAAGGGCAAAACCACAAAATTAACATATTATAGGCTGGTGTAAGTTCATTGGATAATTTTCAGTAGCGGGCCTTGTATGGCAGTCTAAAAGTGGTAATGTTGGTGGAAAAGTACTAGGTCAAAGGGATACATTAGGGAGGGGGTTTCTAGGAGAGAGGAATAGGTTGCTACGTGCCTTGCAGCTTTCTTTGTTAACCTTGAGCAAGCGTAGGGAAGGGGCTTATCTACAAGGCAGGTGTTCTGTGTATCTATGGTTAGTAGCTGACTGCTTTCGCTGTGAACCGGTTTACTCCCCATTTCCCAAGGCCGTCTCTGGAACGGTTTGTCTCAGGAGCCCCATTTTTTTATGGTGGCTCTTGGCTCCTTTCAGTACCTGTAACCTTCTCCCCCCTGCCCCAACTCTGATGCTAATGGGCAGATTTTTTGTTTGTTTTTTAAAAGACCTTGCACCATTGTTCTGGACATTTGGTGCAGCAGTTAAGACACAGCTTGGTATGCTGGTAGCCCCTATCAGAGTGCCTGGATTTGAGTCCTGGCTCCACTTTGAATTCCAGCTTCCTGCTCGCCTACACCATGGGAGGGAGTAAGTGATAGCCCAAATATTTGGATCCCTGTCACCCACACAGGAACCCAAATTGAGTTTGGGGCTCCTGGCTTCAGCCTGGCCCAGCCCTGGCTGTTGCAGACATTTGGGGAATGGATCAATGGCCAGGAGATCTCTGTCTCTCTGCCTTTCAAATAAACAAATGTAAATAAAAATTTTAAACTTTACCACATAAAAAGGTAGAAAGAGAACAAGGTTGTGAGAAAAAGGAAGACAGAGTATGGTGCTGCCATATCATCCCCATTGGGTGTCTGGGCCACTTTGGAGCAGAGTAGCTGGGGTTCAGGCTCTGTGGTCTGTAGGAACCCCCAGAAGAGCCCAGGGAAGAGTTGGCCACGGTAAGTGGAAAAAGAAAGCAATGACTGATTACGATGACTTTGCATTTTGGGTCTGGACTTGCCACTCCTTTCCTGATGCGAAGACACCTAAAGCTTAAGAAACACACTGGGGGCAGGCCCTTGGTGCAGTGGTTAAGCCGCTGCAGCCACGTCCTATATTAGAATACCTGAGTCCAGGTTCCAGCTCCTCCTCCAATCCCAGCTTCCTGCTGATGCCCACCTAGGAGACAGCAGATGATGGCTCGAGTGGCTGGGCCCTGGCCGCTACATGGGAAACCTGAATTGAGCTCCCCGCTCCTGGTCCAGCCCTAGCTATTGCAGACTTTAGAGTAGTCAACAAGCAGATGGAAGATCTCTATATGTCTGTCTCTGTCTCTCTGCCTTTCAAACAAAACATGAAATGTTTAAAAAATTTAATAAAAATTTAAAAATGAGGATTCTTTCAGTCATCTACTCACTAGAAATGAAGAACAGTTCAAGAGGTATGATCTATTGATTGTGGATCAAACTCTTGAACTCATGTAGCATACTGGATATGTTTGTAAATAAACTCATGAGATGAATGCTTTAAAATTTTTTCTCAATTCATTTTGGTAAGATAGTTAAATTTCGGCTCTAAAATGTGACAAAGATAACACAAACATTGTAACTTCCCTTAATATTGCAGGTGGTGAAATTCCAAATAAAATGCTGCCAAGTAAAACCCAAGACAAATTAAAAAAAAAAAAAAGAAGTTGAGCCATGGCCAATAAGGCAGTAAGGCTTACTCAGGAACGCAGGAAGGTTTAATAGTGCCCAATCACAAATATTGCCAGTTAAACAGCTCTGCAAGCAACCAAAAGAAGTTACTGGAGCTGCCACGAACATGCTGGCTCTTCCAGGGATCATGGGATGAACAGAAGATATTGGAAAATTTTTAAAGATTGATTGATTGATTTGAAAGGCAGAAGGAGAGACAGAGAGAGAAAGAGAGAGAGATCTTCTATTCGCTTGTCACTCCCCAAACGGTCTGGTCTGGGCAGGCAGAAGCCAGGCAACCAAGAACTTCTTCCAGGTCTCCCACGTGAGTGCAGGGACCCAAGCATTTGGCCATCTTCCACTGCTTCCCCAGGCAATTAGCAGGGATCCGGCTCGACGTGGAAGCAGTGAGACTCAGGGCCGTATGGGAGAGATGCCAGCGATTGCAGGAGGCGGCTTTACTGTTAGGCCACGATGATGGCCCGCTCATAGGAACTGAAAAGGCTCTGCCGTGGTGGGAATGGTCTTTTGAATCTTCAGGGGGCCCGGGTGGAAAGAGTTCTGTTCTCTCCAGTGAGTTACTCCTTCAGTAAAGCCCATGATAATGAGACGGTTGACACCGGCAGTGATTACAGTTGAAGCTGGAACTCTGCACTGCCTAGTAAATTCAGCATACACTTAACTGTTTATAAAACACTGCCATTGACTTCTGTAAACAAGAGATAATAATTCACTCAAATTGGCCAGCTCCCAGCCTCATAGGCTAATCCTCTGCCTGCGGCCGGCACACCGGG